CAGATTCCTTAGAAATTCTTCAGATGGTCATTAAAAGAATTCACTAAGAGTTTCCACGAGGCCCTTGTCTCTTCTTAGACAACACAACAGATTGGAACATCAGGGAGCTTCAGATTCCAGTTTCCTCTTGGATATTTAGTGATGAGAGAGTTCACTAGTAGCCTAACCAGAACATGTTGTACTCCCCTACCTTCCCCTCTCCCCATACTTTTAAACCAAGAAAACACTGTGAGAGCAAAAGTGAAACAAAACCATCCAATCAAGTCCTCATTTTTCACAACCGATGGATAAAAGGAACTGTCAGAGGTCAAATAGTCCATAAGCACTGAGGTTACCCAGACACCTACCTACTAGACAGCTCCACTTTTTTCCTTATACCTGGATCACTGTGGTAGAAAGTAAACAGAACCAGCTTCACTCAGACAGGTTTGTCAGGAGGGAGGACCACCAACCATAATTCTTCCACCTTTGGCATTAGATACATTGATGCTGTGGGGTGGACTAAGAAGAACCCACAACAGTAAGAGGCTTGGCTTTTTAAATTTGACTTATGTTCTCTTTCCAGGCCTTCTGGTTGCCCACCATTGATGACTGACCCTGATGTTGCTCGGCTGTTTCTGTACAGTGAGGGTGGCCAGCAGGAAAAAACTCAGAGGGGACTGAGATAATAGTGGGATTGGATCACTTGACTGAGCATCGTTCCACATGGCCTTCCCATGGATATGCTGTACATCTGCTCAAAAGAAAAAAATAACTTTGCCGAGTTACTTCAAAGGACTCTAGGTGCGGCGGTTTCGTTCGGGACTCAGATTTTCCAGCTGTCACTGCACCAAGCTCCTCCAGAGGAGTGACCAGACTCATGATTAGGGTATAGTGGGGCTCTCAAGACACCTTCAATTTTGAATGTATTTGCTGCTGAGGAGCCGGTGAAGTTGTTAATTCTGCACATCTGTTCCCCACCCCATAAATGCATGGGAAGCCACAGTTCTGGTTTTGAGATGCTAAGGCAGCTCAGAACCCCTTGCCCTCACCCTGCATGTCTTGTTACTGGGTCTCCTTGTGTCATTGTGGCATTACTCCACAACCATCATGTTACTTAGGTGCCAAACAGTTACAGAAAAAAGTCTTCATATATCTTGAGGTCGTAAAGGGACAGGTACGGAAGGACCTCGCTCTCCAGAAAGCTTTGTAAGTTCATCTATGAGGGTGGACAATCTGGGCATGCCTCAGGCTCTGGGTGTTGAATGGGAAACCACCTAAGAGTTGAAGGAAGGGAAGGTTGCAGATGAGTTCCTAGGACTGGGAGGCTTAGCAGCAACCTAGTGTGTCCCTTACCATCAAGATAGACCCTGGTCCTCCTAGGTGCCTGTGGAGCTTGGTTGTGTACAAAAGTACGGTGGGAGTCTATTTTGTACATGAGATAGATACACCATGCTTTCCTGTGAGCCAGTATTGTAAAGTGAGTCTGAGTTGTTTACACTGATGCCTTCCCTGCCCACCACAAATTGTGTACATAAGCTCCAAATAGTACCACCACTTCCCTAGCTCTCAACTAAGAGCTGACTCTAGGCCTGTGTTATATGTTATATTTAGCCTTTTTATATATGATCTGGAATTCTATTGTTTGTATTTTAGCACAGCGTGTACACCTTCATTCAAATATATCTGTTGCATACATGTATGGATATGTATGTATGCATATATATATTTTTTAAAAGATCTCATTTGTCAGAGTTCAGCCGAAAGGGATAGAGTCCTGCAGCCCAGGAGAAAGACTACATCCTTGCTAATAGTATTTGCCACAAGTATTAGTGAGTCTTCCTTATAACCCTTTTTTCCTTTGGGAGACTGAACAAAGCAAAGCTTCAAGTGTTTTTTATTCCCATGGCAGCTAAGTAAGGGTTCTGGAATAACTCTTCTGTTCCTCAAGCCACACTTCGGGGCCCTCTCTGCAGTATTAGCCCCCTTGCCCAGTGATACTCTGTCTGCGCCTGCCTGTGTGTGTCAGTCACTTTTGCATGCCTTTTGTGTCTGGCTTACAGCATTTGGGGGACAGGATGCTGGGACCCAGAGCATTTTCGGTTTATCTAAGGCTTCTTTGCCATCCTGTTTACCCAGGACTTCTTGCTTTTCCTGGGCTTTTCTTTGGAGAAGTGATCCTGATCAGGGTTGAGGTGAGAAACAGCTGGCTCATAGCCTTCCCCTGCAAGACCTTAGAGCAGGATACGTGGCACATTATTTCTCAAGTTCCCAAACGTTTAAGCAGATCCAGAAACAGGTTCAGCAAGGTTAGGGCCTGCCCAGTATATATGTGTTAGTGAAAAAGGAAACTTAGTGCCTCTGTTCAGCAGAAGAAATAGGCTATGAATTGCTCATAATTTTTTGTCTCATTTTGGTTTTTTTGCATTTTTTTTTTATTCCTTAAACTTAAAGGGCAAGAGGCATATACTTTTCTCAGATGTTGATTGGCAACTGCAGCTCTGTGGTGCCACCCATGATATAGTTGGCTCTAAAAGCTGGAGGGACTTTTAGAAACCAAATGATCTGAACTCACCTGGCTTCCTAGTAAAGAAAATTCATAGTAGGAGTAACTGTTCAGAGAGTACTTCTAAAACTGGGTTAACAAGGGAGGCTGCATAATTAAACATATCTGCAACCAGAGTGGCCACCAAGCATGACTTGCCTGTCAGCAAGAAAATTAATCTGTATTGGGTTTCTGTGTGTCGATAGCTGAAGCACCACATCCTTTGGAAATACGCACTGTGTGACCTCTTTGTGGGACCTGTGGGTGCAGAACTGACTTGAGTTGGGAAGGAATGGGAGAAGATGCAGCTAGATGTGACCAGAGATGAAGTGGTGGGAATGAAGTAGAATAAAGGGAGAGAAGAGGTTGTGGGCCAGAGAGGCTGAGGGCCAGGGCTGCAGGGATGGCACTCAGGCTCTCCAAGGGGTAGGGGAGGGTTGCTGTCCACACCCTAAAGCATTAGGGCCAAAGCTACAGATTTCTATGTGACTGCACTGCTCAACCACCAGCCAGTGGGGTATTTCTTGTTTTTAAACCCACTGTAATCATAATTAATTCCTCATTAGAAGTTTAGGCATTTTAAGAGGAATCAGTTTGTCACCCAAATGCTACCACTATAATCTTTTGGTGTTAAATGTTCTAGACCTATCTGTGCATAGACTTTTGGTGTGTTTACATAGTTGTTATTCTACTGTATATACAATTTTATGTCTCTTTTGTACTTAACATAAACATTTTTTCCATGTTATCTGTCTTAAACCGAATTGTACGGCTGCAACCTCTTCCACTGAATTTACATAGCATTGCTTGGTTTCTAGAGTTGATGGGTGGAAAGGGTTGTCATCTGTTAATCCTGGCTGACACCGGGATTCCCTGTAACACTGAATGAATTTTTGAACTTCCTGGTGCTGCCGCAACTGTCCTTGAGACTAAGGCTGGTGGGTGGAACTCCTAGGCCAGGTCCTCAACACATAGCAACCCTGTCCTCTTCAACCCCTGCTGTAATAAGCTGTCATAGGGCCAGAAAAAATTGACCAGGACAGGCCAGCCCAAGCCAACCTTGATCTTCAAAGACTACATCTGGTACATACTTCAGGCTGCCTTTCATGTCCTTGTTCTTTCAACCCTTGATCAGATTGGCAGCCTCTAGCTGAGATAAGGTTGGTTCTGCTAGGCCCTGGCTTCCTGGGAGAAGTCCTATTTCTTGCCTGCTTCTTGCCTGTCCCTCCCTGAACCACGGATGAAGACAATTTTTGGCTGGTTGCTTTGCCTATGGTCATTGGAGGTTGGCCAGAAGTTCTGAAGAGTGCAGAGGGAATATCTCAGCTTGTGAGTGGCAGGCCATGTGTAGACTCTTCCTGCCACATTGCTCCAAGAACAAGTTCCCTTCACTGCCTGAGGACTGGTGTAATGTTTGGCTCTGCTGAAAGGTAACAGAAGTCAGTATGGCTGCCCTGCAGTGGCCACTCCTGTTCAGCCTGTTAGCATTTGAGACCCACCACACCCTTTCCCAGGCATCTGCCTCTGTGAAGAGCAAAAGGGAGCAGGTGGGCTGTGGGTGCAAGCTGGCTCAGCAGTTGGTGTGGGGGAGAGGCAGGCACAGGATGCTGCCCACATTTTGCTAGGGGGGTTAGCTAGGTTGTTGAGCGGAAGGGAGGAGATTTGTGAGAAGGAAGTAAAACTCATCTAGGCTGCCTAACTAGCCGAGTAAAGTCTTGGATTTCCCAGCTGCCTAATTAGAATTCTGGAGGGGCCCAGGGTTTCTGAGGCCAGCCATTGCCAGGTCCTAGTTGTAGACAGATCTATAAAGGCCCAGAAATGCTGAGCTTTGGAAAGAAATTTTGTAGCTTTTCCTCTCTTCCTGGAGAACATAGTCTCCAAAAGTCTCCCGAGTACATGAGATAGATGTTTTACTCCAGATTCTGGGGCCCATCACCCTGTATTTCCTGGGTATAGTACAGAGCACTGAGTTCTAGAAAACCTTTCAGTTGTAAACTAAAGTAGAAGTGGGGAAGTCGGGTAAGGCTGAAGCCAAGGAGATGGCTTCTAATAAAACTAATAAAATACTTTCAGGGCATCTGAGCTTTGGCAAGTGCTAGATTATGTTGTGGGGTGGGGGGTGGGAGAGGGGAATGAACTAAGTTCTTCAGACATGCTTCAGAGACTCAGCTGATTTGTCTGCAGCTAAGACTAGCTTCATAGAAATTCATACCTGGAAACAAGTAAAAAGGCAGCCCTTCAGGTACCTCCAGACCAGAGCTCACAGGTTGGGGTACAGACCTCTGCTCTGTTCTCAGGGGAACAGTTCTCTCGCTGAGGCACACTGCAAGCTGAGAACGAGGGAGGCCGCAGAGAAAACAGTCCTGACTGCAGGCTTGCAAGGCAGAGCTGTGGCCAAGTCTTTGGAATGTAACAAGAAAGCAAAAGGTGTACTGTCATGCCAAACTACAGAAATTCAGTTCACAAAGACTTCTGCACTCAAGGATTTAATATCAGAGGTGATGAGCAACAAAGTCATTGTTGGGACATCAGCCTAGGGCGGGACTGCGTACAAGCTGAGGGCATTCCCCACTCAAGCCATCCCCTCTGCCCTGACTTTAACCTTACAACCTGTGCCTCTCTGAGGTGAGTGGAGCAAGGCAAGACCTGTGCTGTTCTCTTCCCAGGGGCTGTTTCAAGATGGCTGTTTAGCAGATGTGAGACTACACACACCTTTCCATAAAGCACCCTGCGTGGGCTTTGGAGGGTGTTAAGTGGATTCCCTGACACTCACAGACTGGAGACCTAGGTCCAAACAGGCTCCATCCCTCCTGGCCTCCTTCGCTAATATTCTCAGCCTGGGTGAACCACCTGTGGATAATTTATTGGGCTATTAAGGATTCTGTCTGAGGATCCTCAAGTGGGTTTCCAAAGTTGTAAAATGTTACCAATAGCATCTTCCCCCACCCGCCAAAGAGACTTAGTGAGCTAAGCTTTCCACACTTCCCAGCTTTGGGCCTGGTATAAATGTGCCCCTTGAAATGGGTTTGGGGTAGAGGGTAAGAACCTTATGCTGTGTCTGGGGGCAGGGTGCTATTGACCAGGGCGGAGAGAGATCCAGTCAGGACAAGGAGTGTTCTTGGATGCAGTGCTGGAATCTTCAGCGGCCAAGGTTCCCTTGGCCTTGGCTGTGCAGGGGAATCACGAACACAGAGATGTCATCATAGGATACTTGCTCTTCACCTGTGGGTCCGTCGTCCTTCCCCTGGGTGCTGTGTATCAGCATTTGGGCCAGCTCCGAGAACCTGTGGGGACCACCCTGTGGATGCACTTCAGGGGTAGTGCAAAAGGCAAGGCCATCCTTCTGGAGTACTTGCTGGGCAGGGCTGGACTTTTGAGGACTCCAGCAAAGCAACCTAACAGGCCAGGTAAGCTCTAAGACTGGGAGTCAACCCAAAGATTTTAGGACCCATAATTACCCCCAGAAGCTTAAGACAGCCCAGATTCTGGCCAGCTGCCCTGAAACAGACTCGTCTTCAGTGCTGTCTTCTCAGCTATAATTACTTGATGTTACTGAGGCACCAACCCAGGCCTAGGCATGTTCGTAGTAGCTGTAGTACCTGTGAGGGTCCTCATGTTTGCCAGGGAGGAAGCTCCGTACCAGCCGTGCCACTTGCTCATTGGACAGGACGTCCCAGAGCCCATCAGTTGCCATAACAACCACGTCCTCCTCCTGAAGCTCCAGCTGGCCTATATCCAGCACTGTCACCTGCAAAGTCAAGCCTGAGGATCCTCCGCACCCCATTCCCAGATCCACCAGCCTCCTCACCTGCCTTTCTGGGTGGATGGAAGCAGGGTGGGCTGCTGCACCCTCACCTGTGGGATGGAGAGCAAGAAGGGCTTGAGTTGGATGTTTGTGTCCAGGACTGTGAGCTGATGGTCTCCAAGGCCCCGGGAGACGGCCAGTGTTCCCAGTAACCGAGCCTGGGGAAAAGGGAGGTGGGAAATGACAGCAAACAGCCCCAGCAAGTGCAAAAGTACAGCAGACTGAGGGAAGCGAGCAATGCCTGTGGGAACCACAGGCTGAGGGAGAAACCTGTGGCCTTGAAGCAGATCCTAGGACACCAGCCCTGGTCCAGTACAAGGCACAAAGGAGCCCCCACCTCTATGTGGAGACAAGAAGAGGGAGTTTTGGAGGGGGCTGTTCACTAACCTGCCTACCCTGTCCCTGGATCAGTGGGTACTTGAGATCCGACTTCTCCACGCACTTGTAGCTCCTACCAGGAGCAGACCAGCATCAACCTGGGCTCTACTCCTCACCTCATCACTCCCAACATAATGCTCACCCTGCCCAGGTGGAAGGAAGCTGCTCAGTGCTGGCCCTCCCCACTATGTCCCCACACTCTATTTTGCTCACCAGCCACTCATGTGATGATCCCGGAACAAAACTTTCTGCCCCAAGTCATCCCCCTTCAGCCTTCGAGGAAACTCCAATCGGGTGAACTCACCAGCCAGAAGCTCAGGGTAGACAAAAGCCTAGGGTAGGGAAACCATGCTCAGATCATGATCCCCATGGCCCCGGACCTGGGAGTTGGAGCTCCATAGTTTCCCTCTACTTAAGATACCTACTAGCTGCTGAATTCGCTGTCGCTCAGTCTCTGGGGTGAACTCAGAGCTCAGGGGCCGTACCTCATCCCTCTGCACCAGAATGGCTCTGGATGGGGTTGGGAAGGAGAAGGAGTGGTCTGTGGGACATCCTCCACCCTCACCAAAGACCTTCCACCCGCACGCCCCTCCTCCACCAGGAGCCAACTCTGTCCATGCCAATCTCTGCTTAAAGCTCTCCATGGCTGCTTTAGGCTGGAGTCATGGCCCTTTCAGGCTCAATTTCTGAACCTGACATTTGAGGCTCCTGGCATCCCACTGTGCACCCTCACACTTGACACACTCCAGGGACACAAACAACTCAGCCAGTCAATCCTACCCATTTTCTTCACCTTGGCCCTTTCGCTGTTCCCACTGCTTCTGGTGCCTGCCTGTCACCCTATAGGGCACTCACCTGCTATCCCCAGCGTTGGCCACATACAGCTTTCCCTGCAGAGACACTGCCACCAGAGCCGTGCAGCCGCCCACCTGGCCTGAGGCCTCCAGCTCCCGCCCGATCACCTCATCCTAGGGCAGACCAAGGCCATTTTAGCTGATGCTTGTCCTGCCACCATGCCATTCTGCCCCCAATTCCCTCTTCCCGGTCAGCAAGCCCGGCAGTCCCAACCCACAATATAGCCTTAACTCCAGGGTCCTTTGGTCAGGAGATCTAGAAGGATCCCATGGGAAGGAAGTCAGCACAGCTACTCAAAACTGAGGAAGAGAAACCAGTCCTTGTACCAAGAACCAACAGAGTACGCAAAAAAGTATTTAGCACATAGTAGGTGCTGGATCAGTGGCAGCTGACAATGATAACTGTTAATAATAAGCAAGCCCAATCCTGTCTTCCCAATCCAAAGATCCAGGTGACCACCAGCAAGTGCAGGGATGCCCCACACCCTGAGCTCCTTCAGGTCCCTGGGAAAACAACCTTCCCTCCTTCCCCAACCAAAGGACACACTTACACATTCCTGGAAGGCGTTCTCCAGAGCCCCAATTACCAAGTCTTCTGCCCTAATGCCTTTTTCTTCCACAAACTGGGGATCACTGGGGCAGACACAATGGCCGCTGAGATGCATGGGGGGCTGAGCAGCCACCATGCCCTCCACCACTGCTTCCAGCTGCCGACGCAGGCAAGAGTGCAGGGTGTTGGCAGCCAGGATGGCTGCAGCTGGACCGCCATGCCCATCAAACAGGGCCCAGTAATGACCCATCAGGAACTGTAAAGAAGGAACTAGGTATCAGGCTCTGCCTGGCTTCCCTGGTTGTCTCTTGTCCAGCATGGGGCAGTAGGACAAGAACCCCAGCATGCCATCCTGGTCTGTCCTGAGGCCAGCCTTCAAAGAGGGGCTCCAGCCTGGCTGTGCTCACCTCCTCAGAGCACAAGGTCAGCCACTCCTGATCCTCTTCAGTCCCAAATGCACATCTCCGGATGCACAGCTTCCCACAGGCAGCCTGGTCCTCATTAAACTCTGATTTCTCTGCATTGATGATCCTGAGGCCAAGAGGTGATCAGTGACCCTTCAGGGACACATCCATGTCCCTGTGAGCACAGACCAGAGCTGAGACCCCCATACTGTCCCTGACACACACCAAGGCAAACATGGTGTCCTAACTGGGCAAAATGCAGGGCCCAGTCCCTCTGGAGCCTACTTGCTGAATTGGACAGGGAAGTAAGAGTAGAACAGCCTGGGGAGACCTGGGCTCTCTTGCCTGTTCCCCACCCCATTTTAGCCAGAATTTTGGTCCCATACAGCACAGACCACAACGTTGGGTGAGGTATGTGTGTGTGTGCTTGTGGGAGTAACTCCAACGGAACTCTGGTACTTCACCGTATTCCTGCCTCATCTTTGGAAACCCATGGGGGTGCAGATCCTTCCTAACCCACAACGGTCTCCGAAGTAAGTTGAAGTCCTAAGGAAAAGGCTGAGGTGGGAAAAGTCTGAGGTGGGAAAGAGGAGGTTGAGAGTCCTAAGGTGCAGACAAGAGGGTGTCATCCACAAGGTGGGGGCTGGGGAGAGTCTCATTCAACTTAGCCACCTTCCTCGGTCAGCACGGCCCGACCGGGGCTGGTTCAGCGGGGTCCGGGATCGCGGTGGGGCGCGAGGGGTGCCCGGGGTAGGCGGCTCGGGGGTGGGTTCACTCACTCAGCGTAGCCTGCGTTCCAGGGCAGAGCGCGGCCCCGCGCGGGGCTGCGCACTGGGCGGGCGTCCGGGAGGCGCGAGTCGGTG